GATCCGTCTGCTCGTTTATCGGCTTACGCCATAAAAAAAGAAAAAATTTCACGGCGCTTTTCACGCTCGTGGCGTGTGTGATTGTTTGCGGTTTCCGCTCCAGCGGCTAAAGTCACGCAGTCGCGCACTCTGCAATCGGTTGGCGGGCGATCGCAATGAGAGTGCCGGTCTGGAACTCAACTGATTCTTTAACCGCCCATCTTGTGATAAATCTACCGCCAAGTTTGCGGGTGATAATCGTAACTGCGGCGGCTGCAGTACCGCAGAAAATGTATGTGAACTTGTATGTTTGTAAACGCACCCACGACACAGGAGATAATCCTAGTGTGGGGCAACGTTTAAAAAAAAAACTGCTGTCTCGCGGACGCGAGTAAAAATCGCGTCGGGACTCTGTAGCGTAATACATTAGTAATATAAACGCAGATAACGACATATATACACAAGGTCAAATTAAACCGCACAGTACTTAATTATATGGCGCGGAGATCTTAACGCTCCGGTTTCCGGCTCGAAGAGCAGGAGTAGGAACGGGGTGGTTTTTAGTCAGTAAGAGTCTGACACTCCCTCCCGCTTCGCCAAGTACATAAACTAATGAAGACGAAGATAATAAGAACCTTCTTGTTTGAAGTCGTTTTAAAGTCAATACTGTATCTCTATTCCTTATTTTATTGGTTTTTTTACATTACATATTTAAATGATATTAAAAAAATACAGATTAATTTATATGTAAGTATGTACAATGTATGTGTGTAAATAAATAATTAAAAATTCAGTCTTTCAATAAAAGCTTATAACTGAAATTTATTGAAAATGCCGATTTTGAACAACAGAAGTGAGGTCGTGCTATAACTAAAAATCTTTTCCAGTGATCCAGAAAAGAGGAATCTCCTAATGGAGCAGAAAGAAGATAAAAAGAGAAGACAGTATTCTGGTTCCAGAAATAAGATAGAGCGTGTGAGTCTTGATGTATTAACCAGTTGGAAGGTAACAGTCATTCATACAACGAGATGTAACCTGGTGACAGACAGACAGAAGGGAAACGTGGTCTTAGAAATAGGGTTCCGTTTGTTTTTTATAATAACTATCGTGAGGTATACTAAATTAACTAAAAATCAGGGGTTACTCACGTGAATATACTGATACCGCGTAGCCTACACATAGGCTGTACAATATCGCCGCGACCGCGCACGCTGCTCATGACGAAGAACTCCTCTGTCGTTCGAAACTAGTAGAGCTTTTCTCAGTATATTCACATGAGTAACCCGCGATTTTTAGTTAATTTAGGGTTCCCTTTATTACCCTTTGGATACGGAGCCCTAAAAACGATTTCATAGCCTTAGAAAGCATGTTCGGTTTGACGGGACTAGCGTACCATTTCGTTAAAAGTTCCGAAACAAATAAAGAATTAAAAATCAATTTGTTGATCATGCAGCTAATTATTGCAGAATAGGGACTTACAGAGTAGATTCTGACATAATAGACTATGATATATGACATGTACCTAACAAGTAAAGCAAGGTGCACTTAGTGCTGCGAAGTATGAATAAATCGCCAGACCTTCGAAATTAGGTTTTGTCTGAACAGACGATGATAGAATAGACGATAACCAAGTATACCATTACAGAATATACCACAGGAGGACTAGTAAAGCCTTTACTACTATAGCTTTAACTACATAGTTCCCAATTCATTTTCTTTGAGATGTCCATCCCATTCTATACAACTGCCCATATTGTAATTCACTCGAAATAACCGAATATGTAGAAACGATCGTATAAAAATTGACGAGCATGCCTGCCTGAAGCGATTGGTGAATGTAGATAAAGCGAAAGAGGTATGAAGAATCGAGTCATTTAGCATTCTATTGTCTTTACCTATCCAGATGAAAGACAATCGTAACGATATGTACTTATGCTTATTTTTACAATCTCTGAATAGGTCTCCCAAAAATTGGAACAAGCCGGCCACAGCCCACAAATTTTCGATGATCAATCGGCGATCACCAAGCCGCCTGCCAAGCGAGATGATTTGACAAACACCATTTTAAGAGAGAGGCCTTTGTTCAGCAGTGTACGTATCTTGGCTGATGATTATGATGATGTTGATAATGATGATGATAGTGATGATAATGATAGGTTCAATTCCAGAGGTCCTGCGAGTCCAGCAGTTCAGAGCAGCGTAAAAGAGGAACTCCATACAAAACTTCTTCTATTGATCAGAGAGGTGAATTTCCACAAAACAGGACTCGAAGCTTGGTCAGTCTGTATGCTAAACGGGTAGGTCCTTTCAATGTAAACATTTTTCACTCGTTTATATACGTTATGTATCCGATTATGTCCTGGAATGCCATTGTATTGAGAATTTCCTGGTGTTCTTTCTTCCCTATGGCAAGAAGAAGCCCATAACTCGGCATTCCGACTAATGTATACGATGATAAGTATTCATCATCATCATCATCATCATCAGCCTATAAGTGCGCACTGCTGAGCTAAGGTCTCCCGCGAAGAAAGTTTGAGCATTAATCACCACGCTTGTTCTCGGCGGATTGGTGATTGCAAAGTTATTATAATTAGAAATTACCCAGTCCAGGTTTCCTCTCATGTTTTTCTTCACCGTTTGTAACAAATTAGGATAAATTCCTGAACTTTTATTTTAATATAGCAATCAATTCTATTTTTAGCTACTTACTTCTTTAGCTTCTATCACATTCATACATTTGGTCGAACAAGTTCTTTCCTTCATATACAATTACAATATGAACTCGTACACAAAACTGCGATGCGACTTCGTGCAAAATGGCGTCTCCCAGGGTGACCGATCCTTCGACGACCGTCAACCGTACTAAACGTATTTTAAATTGAAAACTAGATCGTGACATGGATCGTAAAAAGAAGTGTGTACTTCTGTTATTGCTTAGGAGATACAGGAAAAAGAAACAGAAGATTTTGGGAAGATAAGATTTTGATACGCGATGCGATTCAATTCGCAAGTTCTTGCGATGCGTAGAGGGAGCTCGCACATTTGCAGTGCGACGTCGCATCGCAGTTTTGTGTACCAGCCCTATAGTATAGTTTATCTATAATTGTACTAAGATCAATTCTTTTTTTATATTTCAGCCCTACCCAAGTGAGAAAAAGGAAAGTTGGTGGTGTTGGGTAAGTACTAATTCATATTTATATTCTTCTTAAATAAATAATATCACATAAGAGATATTTTATGGGACAGAAGAGCAAAGGAGCAGACGGATCACCAGATACGCGACCAGATGTGCGTAAGCATTTAATTGTGGGAGAGCCATGCTTCGTCACGAATGGGCCGGCTCGACCGGGGTACCACGGCGTCGCAGAAAACCAATGTCAAACAACGTTTGCATTGTTTTTCTTCGTGCGAGTGAGGTTACCGGAGGGCCAATTACCCTCCTCCCCAATCTTAAATCCCCGCGTCCCCAACAATCGGTTGAAATGACTGTACGGTTGATGCGGTGGCTGGGCAACCGGCTGCCGTGCAACGTGTCACGGTTTCGATTCCCGCACGGAACAACACTTTGTGTGATCCACAAATTGTTGTTCCGGGTCTGGGTGTCTTATGTGTGTGAACTTGTATGTTTGTAAACGCACCCACGACACAGGAGAAAATCCTAGTGTAGGGCAACGTTTTATTAACAAGTAAAAAAAAAAGTAAAAATCCTTAAGTGCTTATTCCCCAAAAGGCCAAGGCCGGTAACGCGCTTGTAATGCCTCTGGTGTTTGGGGTGTCGTGTACGGCGGCGATTGCTTACCATTAGATGATCCGTCTGCTCGTTTACCGGCTCATCCTATAAAAAAACAGTAATGGAGACCGCCTATGGATACATGCAACAATAGATGACTACAAGTATGCTGTAGTCTTATAAAGGGTTCAAGGATTTAGAGATGGAGAGGCCTCAGGTCATCAGTGACTTCGCTCACATGGGTTGCGCGCACGCTTTGGTTATTTGACGTCGTTACGTATGCCGTAAGTCCAGCCAGTCCATTCGTGCCAAAGCATAGCTATCAATTGCATTCATGGCGATGGTGATGTAATATTATGTGTATATTATATTCTATTGACGTAGATTTTTTTAAACAGAACAATAAAGACGATAAAGAAAAAGAGAAACCGAAGAAGGCGCAATCGAACGACGATACCTGCTCATGCGTCTCATGCGCGTGAGTCCATTTGTGTTGTATTTTTGTATCAATACTTGTTTCTACCCGCTGTTTCGCAATTCTGTGGGGTATAAAGTACCCTATTTGATATTCTAGACTTTCACTATCCCTATTTCAAATAACATCACGCCTTTTATCCCCGAAGGGATAGGCAGAAGTGTGCATTACGGCACTTAATGCCACTGTACAATGTAACATCCACTTTTCACTATTTATGTTATGAGTCCCATGTAATAGGGGGTGAGCCTATTGACTTATATCGGATACAATTCCAGACTCCGTGCTACTACTGAGATTCTTGATGCCTAAACCATAAAAATTAATTTAGTATGTCTCACGAGAGTTATAATATGTATGTTACTTTTAACTGTTTTTATATGTTAGATATTTACAACATAAGGAAAGAAAAAAAAATATCCAACTTAGATAAACTAAAACGAATAGAGAAAATTAAATAAAAGAAAACGAAAAATTCCCATTTACATGCATCAAAAAATTCGTCCGCATCAACGTCAATAGGAAAAGTACCCACAAGGCTGGCAGTATTGTAGTGCAAAAAATAATGTAGTGCAAAAGTAATGCAAAAGTACTTTTAACCGAGAAACAGACCAGCCCTCTGGTCTCGAGATACGCCGACCAGGCCAGAGAGACCACAGAGGGGTTCTTCCTCATGAGTCATGAGCAGCGTGCGCGGTCGCGGCGATCCTAGTTTTAAATTTTTAGTTAATTTAGTATGTCTCACGATAGTTATTAAAAAAACACCAGGAAGAATGTTTTTACTGTATTTAATCTTAATTTCAGGTTGAAAAAAATCGTGGGCTCAGAATACGCCTGCATTGGCTGTCTTCTCCTTCTGTTCGCGATATCCATCTTCATCGCATACCTGGTCGTCTGCAAGGGTGTGCCAGGGTTTGGCGATGACGGCTGTAAGCTAAAGACCACGACAACATCGACCACAACTAAATGCAAAAAGTCTGTTGACAGTGAGCGGTTGAAGCGGAAGATAGAACAGCTCAACGGGAACCGGCTGAATAATGATTATCCTGGTTTAAGTGACTATGATAAGGATTTGTTAGTATAATATTGTTTTTCTTTTTTATAAAAGCTTCTGCCCGCGACTTCGTACGCGTAATCCCATGTCTTCCCGTCCCCGTTCGTGATTTTCGGTAAAAAGTAAAAAAAAAATTGGTTAAAAAGTAATCTATGTCGGTCTCCTGGCTCTAAGCTACCTCTCTACCAATTTTCAGCCAAATCTATTCAGCCGTTCTTGAGTTATAAGTGGTGTAACTAACACGACTTTCTTTTATATATATAGACTAGCGGACACGACAGACTTCGTCCAGTCAAAAAAAAAAAAAATTTTTTTTAATTTTTCTCGCCATGATGCGAACTCTAAAGATCATTAAAAAATTGGCCAAATTGGTCCAGGCGTTGTTGAGTTATGCGCTTACCAACACATTTTGCGATTCATTTTTATGTCATAAGACTTTTTTTTTTTTTTTTTTTTAAGGGGGGAAAATCATCGAATGACTGCCCCCGCCTGGGTGAGGCGGGAGGGAGTGTCAGACTCTTACTGACTAAAAACCACCCCGTTCCTTCTCCTGCACGTCGAGCCGGAGCCCCGGTTACCCGTTAGGTTCTCCGCGACTCCGAATCGGCATCGGCCCTATTGGACCCCATCTGTGGTGGTCTGATGGCTCTTTGAGGCGCGCGCGGAACGCGACGCGCCGTACGCTCGGGTCTGTTTCTGGTCGGACGGGGAGCCACCCATGCTCGCCGTCCGCAGGCCCGCGCTTACGGTGGCCGGAGATCGTCCCCGATCCCCGACGCCCGGTGTGTCCTTCGCGATGGCTGGGTTGCGAGGAGGCAGCGCTTCGCTGCCTCACGCGTCCCGCCTCCTCCTTAGCTAGCATGACTGCTTCGCAAAAGGAGGAGACGGCATCCCAATCCCCCTCGCTCCGCATCATGGCCTGCACTAGGCCCGGACGCGAGAGGTCGCCATCGCCGATCACTTCCCTAAGGACACGGCGGTGCTCAGCCCACGAAGGGCATTCTCCCACCGTGTGTTCCACCGTGTCCTCAGGGCGGTCCTCGCAGTGATGACACCCGGGCGTTTCCTCCCGCCCCATCAGACACAGGTACCTCCCGAAACTGCCATGTCCGGTGAGGACCTGCGTCAGGCGGTAGGTGAGGACGCCGTAGCGTCTCTCAAGCCACTCCTCAAAGAGGGGACTTACCGCTGCAATGGCAGCGAGCCCAGCCCTCGGTTGCGACAGTCGTTGCTGCCATTCCGCCATGAGATCGCGCCGGAGCTCATCCCGCCACGCACTTATCTGGCGCGGCAGCGGAGTTTCGCCCCGGCGACGTGCCTCCGCGCGCATGCTGTGCACGCGCGCGAGCACCTTCGCCTCCAGATCCCACGGCGGTAATCCGGCAAGGAGGTTCGCCGACTCCCCAGAGATCGTGCGGTATCCGCGGATCATTCGGATCGCCATGACCCTCTGTGCCATGAGCAGCGTCCGAGCGGGACGCCGCAACAGGTTAGGCGCCCAAACAGGGGCGCCGTAGAGGGCCATGGACCGCACGACCCCGGCGTATAACCTCCGGCAGGAGGCGTTTGGCCCCCCGAGGTTGGGGAGGATGCGTTTAAACGCAGCCCCCGTCCTCTCCAACTTTGGAGCCAAACGTCGGAAGTGTTCTATGAAGTTCCACCGACTGTCGAGGACGAGTCCTAGGTACTTCATCGTCGTCTCGACGCCGATGGTAACTCCTCCCGCCGTTATTTGGGACCCACCCGGAGGTGGCGCGTTCCCGCGGCCATGAAAACACATGGCCTCGGACTTGTGGAGCGCCACCTCGAGTCCCAACTGCCGGATTCTCTCAACGACTGTCGCAACCGCTGTCGCCATTAAGTCGGCCGCCGCCTGGTGTGACCTCCCGTGCGCCAGCACCAGCGTATCGTCGGCGTAGCATATAGTGCTAACGCCGTTCGGGAGGTCGGTGCGCAGCACCCAGTCATAGCCGATGTTCCACAGGAGCGGCCCCAGAACCGAACCCTGTGGAACACCGCGTGACATCTCTCGCCGGTTCCACTCGCCCCGGTGACCGGGGTAGCTGACGGACCTGTCCGTCAGGTAAGCCTCGATTACACGACGGAGGTAGGTAGGCACCCGATGATATCGGAGTGCCTCCAAGATGCAGCTCCAGGGCAGGGAGTTGAAGGCGTTGGCGATGTCCAGAGACACCGCCACTACGACCTTACCCCTGGACACTGCAGTCCCCGTCGTGAGGTCTCTAACGCGCATGATGGCGTCCACCGTGGAGCGCCCTCTGCGGAAGCCGAACTGGCCGTCCGACAAGTCCGGCCCAATGTCCGTCAGGTGCGCGACGAGGCGGTTCGAAATGATTCTTTCATGTCATAAGACTAGCTTCTGCCCGCGACTTCGTACGCGCAATTCCGTTTTCTCCCGTTCCCGTAGGAATTTCAGGATTATTTCTGTCTTAAGAACCTTCTCTTAATAATAATGAATACAATAAAAAAAAGAATTAATGAAAACAGTCCAGCCATTCACGCGTGATGCCGTGACCAAGAGAATAGGTATTCATTTTCTATCTATATATATAAAAATGAAATCTGTTTCCTGTTGTCACGCCATAACTTGAGCTTTTTGAGAAAGCTTTTTAAAGATTTGTCTGATTTTTTTTGTGTTTGTTATCGTCAGGAGAAGGATTTTATGATAGAAAAAAGTTCTGTAAATCCTACGGGAATGGGAGAAACGGGACTGCGCTTACGAACTCGCGGACGGAAGCTAGCTATATATAAAATAAATATATAATATAATAAAGTCCAGTGCTAATCTTATACTTCTTATATTTATAATATAAAGCTAAAGCGTTTGTTTGTCTGAACGCGCTAATCTCAAAAACAGCCGGTCTCATATGAAAAAACGTTTTTGTGCTGGACAATCTATTATTTTTTATATTTGGTGGGACGACGTTTGGCCACTATCTCGCCTGGTGGTAAGCGATGATGCGGTCTACGATGGAGCACGTCGACCCATTAGCAACCTATTCATTCGGTCCTTGAAGACACCCAGGATATCAGGCTAAAATAGGTCTAAAAATACGATAGGCTTATATAACATCACGCTACGATCAATAGACGACAAGCAGAGCAGTTGAAACATTGAATTAATTATTTACAAATAATATTGTACTATTGTTTTTTTTTTCAGAAAAAGTTACGATGACCCCATGATGTCGCCCAATAAAGGCGTAGCTGGAATAGGTATGTTTTTTTACAAATAACTAATTAGCATAAAACATAACATTACGCCTTTTATCCCCGAAGGGGTAGACAGAGTAGTTTACGGCTTTTAATGCAGCTGTACATTGTAACATGGTGTTTTCACTATTTATGTTATGAGTCCCATGTAATAGGGGGTGAGCCTATTGCGGGTTGCCGGGGCTCCGGCTAGAAGTGCAGGAGTAGGAACGGGGTGGTTTTTAGTCAATAAGAGTCTAACACTCCCTCCCGCCTCACCCAGGCGGGAGATGTCATTGGACGATTTCCCCCCTTAAAAAAAAATTGCCATATAATAAGCACAATTCGAAACTTCGTACTACTACTGTGATACATAAAAAACACAGTAATACTCTGCACCGAATAAACCCGAGACCCCTTGCCCACCAGTCGCACTTGAGACCACTCGGCCAAGGAGGCAGTCAGAATTAATATAATATTAATGATTAATATGAATGCAATTAGAGGTACCTTGTTATGACCCAACATTATAGTAACTAGTATCGGTTGTAATATTCTTTTATTTTATTCACAGATTTTGGTCCAAGTTTCCGAGAATTGGTAAGTGTTTTCTTTTGTTTTCACTGGATCAAACATACTTTTATTATTATCCTTATAATATTTTACATTGCTATTTATTTAAAACATTGAAGTTTCTATTTTTTAATTACTTTAATATATTATCCAGCTGACGTCACTGCCTAATTTGTACAGATATATAAAATTGAAGTGTCTGTTTGTAATATTCTATGTCATCCTAAATTTCATATACTATGCAGACGATGTCGGGTGCAACAGCTACTATCGATATGAATAAATCTCAACAAAAAACCGGTCAAAACTAAATTAACTGCTATTATATTTATTTAATCCTTCCTGGTTCAGGATGATATCTTAAATGTACCATTAACTTGCATCAATATTTCTAAATCCTTAAATTCAAAATACACTTGCGCTCCCCCATCCAAATCCTAGCCTTACCAAGCACACCTCACCACAAACCGCACACCTTCAATAAAACAATGTCGCCACAACAAATAAAACACAGGCCCTCGTAAAAAATGTTACTGATTGAAAAAAATGCTTCCCAAAACTGCCATGAAAGCGGGAGTTATTTATTTACTGGCAACACTTTAGGGAATAGTGTGCGGTGTTGCTATTGAAAATAATGAGTGGGTTCAAGTGTTGTCGACGTATTTTTGGTGACGGATTTCGTAGGACGGTTTTGGAAAATGTTGGCTGTGTCTTTGGGGTTTTATAACGGTTTAATTGGGGTTTTGTTGATCGGTTAGTTGAATTTTCGATGTACTTAAATGAATAATTTCTACAGTATTCAATTGTGATGATGACAGGGTATGAAAATTAAAAATCTAATTAGTCCGTATGTTAGGTAATGAAAAAATATTAGACTCGTATTTTTTTTATTTTGTTGTATAAATAAAAAAATACTTAGATAAAACGAATTAAAGTTTAGGAGTAGGGGCTTAAACGTCATTTCTACGTATAAAATGACATAGAAGTGACGTCACGCGACATTTGAAATCAATATATCGTCGAAAGTATTCGTTTTTGTAAGAAAATAAAAAATACGTGTCTAATAATTTAAAATAATCTACCACACGGAAATTAAAATAAAAATTAGGCATCTACCCTATTGTAACCAATATAACCAATACGTATACCTACAGACGATATACAAGCACATATTTTTACCTCTGTGAACTGTGATTATTTTACAGACAACCTTTGGACAGAAAAAAATGTATTAGATATTCAATCAAAAATTAGATAAAGTCCTATTTTATTTAATCACCCCATATCTGGTTTCTTATATCTAAATATTTCCATCCAAAGGTTGTCTGGAAGAAATCACTATTGTGTGATAAGACCGCCCATTGTTTAAACTACTTAAATGTGTACAATAAAGCATATATAAATAAATAAATAAATAATAAATTACTACATACCTTCTAGTATAAAACAAAGTCGCTATCCTGCCTGTCTATCCCTATGTATGCTTTGACCTTTAAAACTACGCAACGGATTTTGATGCTGTTTTTTTAATAGATAAAATGATTCTTAAGGAAGGTTTATATGTATAATACATGCATATTGCACCCGTGCGAAGCCGGGGCGGGTCGCTAGTTTAAAAATATATCATTATGGGCCAGTGCGTGAATAGACACATTAAGGAATCTTTAAATGTATGAAAAATCTTGTATTATCATTCTTATATGAGATATTCACTTAAAGTACCTTTTTAAATAAGTTTTTAGTTTTTTTTTCTATTTTTATTTATAGTTTTAGATTTAGTTAATTTTATAAGTTGTATCTATACATTAATTAATAATTATGCTATTTAAAATGAATTAGTAAATACAGGTGGACGACAGAACTTTGCTTGTTTTTTCTTTGTTTTTTAGAAAAAATATAAAATAGAAAAAAGGACAAAAATAGTTAGAAACAGAAGAAAATAAAAGAAACAATCGAACCGAGAATTTAACACATTCTGCCCCCCTCCATACAAAAATTTAACTTGACAAAATTGAATTCAAAGTGATATTAAATACACACAAATACAAATGATTACACATTATTATTATTAGTTTGACCTACAATCGCTGTATCCCCCACACTGCAGACACTGTTTGTAATACCGGACCCCTTGTTTTGAAGGGGACTCCTATATATGTAGTTTGGTTAAGGTGAATTGGCCGTTGAGACGCCAATCCTTACTAATATTATAAATCGGAAAGTGAGTTTGTTTGTTCCACTTTCACGCCGTAACTACTCAACCGATTGCTTTGAATTTTTGCAGACGTAAAGTTAGAAGTCCGGATTAAATAATAGGGTACTTTTTATCCCGGAAAAATTTGATATTTCCGAGGAAAAACAAAAGTATTGGTATAGATGGCTCTGTGTGTATTGGTATATGTCACATAGGCTACTTTTTGAGCGAAGCCGCGGGTAAAAACTAGTTTGTAAATAAATGAGTATTTTCGCATTTGAATTGGGTAGTTTCCAGGGTATCAAAATTAAAAATCTAATTAGTCTGTCGGTTAGATAATGAAAAGATATTAGACACGTATTTTTTAATTTTCTCATCTTAAGTTGCAATACTTAGATAAAATGGGGCTAAGTTTAGGAGTTTAGGTCGTTACGTGGTACAAAATGTATGCAGATCTACTCAATAAGCTTGACCGACTTTTAAATAACTGCATTCGATTCGTTTTCAACCTGCGTAAATATGATCATGTTTCTGCACATCAGCTGCAATTAAAGTGGTTGCCCATACGCCAACGCAGGGAGCAAAGGGCTCTAACCACTTTGTACTCCTTTCTTGACTCCCCCTTTTCTCCTAGCTATCTATCCACCTACTTTCAATACACCAGTGCAAACCACAATAAATATCTTCGATCTTCCAACAATCGTCATCTTCAATGTCTTAGTCATCGCTCTGATTTTCTTCATTCTTCATATTTCATACAATCAGTGATTCTATGGAATGCGCTACCCACAGAGATTAGGATGGCCACCAGTCGCTTATCTTTCAAAACCAAGGTTCGCGAGCATTTACAAAAAAAACTGGCAGATTCGATTCAAACATAAGTTGTCTCTTATCATGTTATTTAGTTTTTACCTGGGTACGTATGTATGTGTGTATGTATTTATGTATGTATGTGTGTATGTATGTATATAGTACTATTATATGATATAAGTATTGGATGTATGTGTACATGTATATGTATGACTATATATAAAAGTATCTATAAACTATATATAACATTTGTTTAGTCACCTGCCACTTTCATCTCTGCACCACCTTAAGGTCGACTGTGAGACAATGCCCAAGGCATTAAGTCCGCCTGTACATTTGTTATTGTACTAAGTCTTAAATAAATAAAAAATAAATAAATAAAATGTAGCACGCTGTGACGTCACACCATATTACAAATTAATATATCGTCGAAAGTATTTAGTGTTGTGAGAAAACGAAAAACACGTGTCTAAAGTTTTAAATTTATGTACAACCAGACGGTCATTATAATAAAATTTAGGAAACTACCCTATTGTATTTTGTACTTTCTAATGTACATAGTTGTAACATGCATCGTTTTTTTTTTCAAAAAAATCCTAACGTATTGAATTCAATCAAAGCATAATTTGGTAGTTTTGAAACGTTAACAAATACAAAATAAATCTGTCTGTCAGTCAGTCCGTCAGTGTTCAAGTTTTAGTTCTAGTTCAAGCACCTAGCTTAGGTGAAGCTAGGTGCTTGTTCCAAAATGTAGATTCGAATGGAGAAGAATGAGCAAGTAACTCAATTGTTACTCTTTTATCGATTTATTTCTGATAACTAGATTTTACTAGTTTATTACTTTAAAAATATATTACAGTGGCATGTCATATGTACTTTATTTAAATTCTCTCTAAATATCTGCTTACATCAATATGCAAAAGACTCATCGATCTAAAAGCTAACATTAGGCTTGTTGATCAATCCAATACTTTAATTCATTTAACAAAAAAAAAAACAAAGCCAGATGCCACTGTGGCGACGCATGCCACATGTCTACGGATGACGTCACAAGAATCCTACATCGCGCATGCAAAGTTTACAAGCGAATAAACACGGATAGAAAATCCCAACGAACAACTGTTGGGCAGAAAGCCCGCCAGGCACGATCACCTCGCCTGGTCGGAGGATCCTCCTTTTCCGATCTTAGGGAACTATACTCTCTGTTCCCTAAAGTGGTGACCCCGACGTGATTGGAAACAACCTTCACTTCACGGAGCAGATTAGCACCGTCATCCGTATCGCCATCCCTCTCATTCATCATTTCTCTGCTGAGCGGTAACCAAGTCGCAGCCAACCAGCATCCTCGGCCTCATCAGGGACCACCATTACCTGCAACGAAGTTGTGCAGCCTGGTTCTTCCCTACGGCCTTACCAGCGTCTAGGCACAGCACTTCTGCACACGGTCTGAAGGACACCTCCTCCCGTCAACGCAGATGCCGGCCACTACGCACCTACCCTCGCAGCATCTCTTCCCCGACTCACCGTGGGACACTGCGAACTCATCTCTCCGACTCACTGGAGTTTCACCCTGCACCGCTCACCCGACTCACTGGGCACTCAGCGGCACGGTTCCGACCCACTGGAACTAGGGACGTTCTACACTGGCTCTGGCGCCACTCATCTCAAGCATCGACAGTCGTCTCAGCGGGATCGACCTCCGGTCTTGGGAGGGAGTGATGTGGCGACGCATGCCACATGTCTACGGATGACGTCACAAGAATCCTACATCGCGCATGCAAAGTTTACAAGCGAATAAACACGGATAGAAAATCCCAACGAACAACTGTTGGGCAGAAAGCCCGCCAGGCACGATCACCTCGCCTGGTCGGAGGATCCTCCTTTTCCGATCTTAGGGAACTATACTCTCTGTTCCCTAAGATCACGTCGGGGTCACCACTTTAGGGAACAGAGAGTATAGTTCCCTAAGATCGGAAAAGGAGGATCCTCCGACCAGGCGAGGTGATCGTGCCTGGCGGGCTTT